CATCTCTTATGCATGCTAACTGTTCATCTTCTCCATGTAGATTCCCCACAGCAGTTGAAAGGCATCAAGAACAAATAAAGCAGGTTGCCCATGTAGTGCTGCTGCTCAGTTCAGCCTGCACTATAAAGGCTGAGATCTGCAACTCCAAAAAGTAGCCTGGGTTTACCCTCCAGTTCTGGAGGGTATCATATAGTCTCTGCAGAAACTGTAAACTAATCAGACAGCCAAAAATAGTAGCCATAAGGGGATCAACATACACATACACTAGTCACTGCTAGGACTTGGGATGTCAAAGCATTTCCAGAACACAGAATATTCTTACAGAGTAATCCGAGTATGTGCCTGCTGTGTTTTTTTAGAAGCTTAATCTTGGCAAAACTGATGGCTCTTTTTGCAGAGAAGGAAAACACACTATCATAAAGCCTATTCCTTGTCAAAGTCCTAATCCCTGTTCCAAAAGTAACAGGGCAATGAGTGCTCTTGAAGAAAAGGTCAGGAGAACTATTTTTAAACACTATAGAACTTAAAGCTTCCTTCTCAAGTGTATTTGGCGGGACTGTTTCCAAAACTATTTACATTGGTTAAACTTTTCTACATAAATAAATTGCATGTGTGCATTATTAAAACACAATCAAGGTCAAGTTTAACTGACAGATTTATGCATTCAGTGTCTTACAAATGATAATGCAGCTTTATATTTTACCTTCTATACAAATAAATTTGTTTCTCCATTCAGCACCATCAGATCTTGGAATAGCTTTGGCCTCACGAACTGAAATAATTTGATGGCTCCAACTAGGGAAAAGGAAAACAATTTGCAGAACTTTTAACTCTCGATTCTAAATTTATAGTATCAGTTTACATTTAAAAACTGTCAAATTGCTACATCATAAGCCTGGATAACACAGTACTTTATAATAATGAGTAATTTAGCCTAAACGTTCTAATCTTTGTAATTCATTATGTAAGAATGAAGAATAATGGATAGGAAATGAAAAATTTTCAACAAAGAAGTTTATTTATGAAAACATCTGTAAAACAGAACATCACAGATATCTGTGAGTAACATATATTCACGACAATGTTTTTATCAAAAAACAATGTGAACTTGAATATGGACATCTACATTTCTTTCTAAGTTCAAAAGAAATTATACCCTCAAATCTATCTTTCAGAATTTTCTGTAAGGAGAAAAGGAATCTAAAGAGTTTAAGTGCAGATGAAGTCACATACTGCATTCGAGTAAGAACACATTCAATAGTATAAAGATATATAAAGACAGACTGTTTACAGGCCAGTATTCCTGGTGTAAGTAACTCATTATTAGAAAGCACTAACACTTTGTACCTGCTGAATTTTATATCTCCTATAAATGCAACAACAAAGCAACAACTCCAAATGTGCATTTGAATATATTCTACTGTTTTCTGCACACATTTCACAACAACAAAACCATAGCAAATAATCACACTGAAACAGGAAGAGCTGGCAGTTTACAGGGCAGTCTTTACAATGTACCCAGCATCTTTATAATATTTATGATGCTTGGCAAACAATATGCCAATAAGCCAATGCAACCACTTGCATTTCTATGTTTCTATCTACCCAGCCAGTTTTCAGCTGCTCTTAACTAAACCAGGGAACTACCATATCAGGAAAAGACCTGGATCACCAACAATGCATCACCATATGCCCTGACTAAATGGGGCTCGGAAAAAGCTGGGTAGTGTGCTGCTAGCTGTACCCTTTATGTGATCTTCTGACTGAACCAATCCTTCGACATAATGCAAAGAGAGAAACTTGGCTGGGTGCATCAACCACCTGCAATAAATCTGTCAATATCAACTGTAAATCAAAATACAGTCTATAATTCATAAACTAAATTTCAAAGAACTCTGTGCTTCCTCAGCCACAGATCAGCTCCACTAAGTCAGGGGTGATAAGACAGTTTACAGCAGCTAAAAATCCATGCCTGTAATTCTACAAATTATCTTGGATACAAGTCATGACTAAAACCACTCGTGAAAGCCAGCTCTTTGATTATATGACTGTCAGCTTTATGTACTTCCATATAGCACATATATTGCTTTTCTATTTAAGACTATGACTAAGACCTATTTCAAAAAGTGCAGGACACAGCATATGAAGCTCGGATTACTTACTCACACACTGCTGTGTGTATTTAGATTTCCTTATATATTCTTTAGAAAATCAGTACAGGTGATGACCATTTCTAGCACTGAATGCAAACTAAAGCCTTCATTCTAACCCATTACTCTACCTCTCCTTAATTCCCATAGTTGACTACTTTTGCAATAAGTAGATATATTGTGAAACACCAAATACTTTCCTCTGTATCTTTTTAACTTCCATCAACACAAGCTTAACAAGAATTCAGTTGTTTAAAAAAGCAACAAACACCCCCCAAAGAAAAAACACAGAAAAAAAAAGAGAAAAACCATGCCACTAGAGCATCAAAGCAGCTTAAACTGCAGCTTCAGAACACTGATCATGAGCAGAACCTGACAGTTCAACTCTTCTGCTTTTTCTAAAAGCTTTTTTAAGACTCAGAGATACAGGCCAGTGGAGGAAAAAAAATCCTGTCACACAACAAAGTATTTGATCTGTGTTTGGTTAGGCCAGGCAGTATTGTTTCATCCTGCTCTGGCAGGGGGGTTGAACTGGATGATCTTTTGAGGTCCCTTCCAACTCTTAATATTCTGTGATTCAAAAACCTAATTCTTCTCTTGACTTCTTCTCTAGGTTATACTTGGCTTGATTCCTCAGCAAAAAAATAAATCTATTTATAATACACTGGTTTAGCAAAAAGCAACAAAAAAGTGACATCTATAGCTATTTAAACAGCTTTTAATTTAAACTTCAATACAACTACTTGATCCAATAGTCTCATTAAACTTTCACTAACCCTGCTTTGGTACCAAATTCAGCCTAAAGTAGAAATGAACTACCAATAGTAAATGATTTGTGTATCAATTTTAACCATTTTGGCTTGCACACACCAACTTCATTACTGCCAACACTAGCAAATACTCTCTGCATACATACTTTGAAATCCGTAAGTTAACAATAACCATTTAAACAGCTATTTCAATTATCAGTTTTTTCAGGTGTCACTGCCCACATTAGTTATGTGCTCCTCATGAAGAAGGTGGCGAGAATTTGAAATAAAAAGACCAGGCATTTCTAGGTTTAAGTGTATATGAATACACTACAAATAGACTAAAAAGCTTATCTTTGAGTGTTCTTACAAGCCAAAGCCACTTCCATAAACACACTAAGATGCATACAAATTGTAAGCATTATCTAATTCAATATACTATTTAAAGATGATCCCTTTATTACTTGACTAATTCTACCTTGAAAAGAGCCATGAGCAACTGTATTTTATATTTTGCCATGATAATGTAACCAATCTTTTACCATGTCTGCCAAATACAAGAAAATCAGTGAATGATCTTAAACAACTGCTGCACAACTTGAAACAATAAATTTAGAAGATGCAGAGTCCCAAGGGAAGCAAGGCTTTGCTTCAAGGTCTTGCTTTGTAAAGAGACAGCCAAGTGAAAACCTGCTGCCTTCACTCACAGCTGCAGAAGTGAAATCAGACACTCTCTTCAGAGGGCATGATAAACACAGACCTGTTTCCAAATACTTTCTTTTGAGAACACCTCCCTGCATTTTTTTCACTTGGTCACATTCACTGCGTGATCAGTGAACCTTTGATTGTTTGAAATACTTAAAATGGAGTTATACGCATACCTTTAGCCAGCTATATAATGAGAAACATGCAGACTTGAACTCTTATGGCAAGCAAATTATACAACCATGTTGTGTGTAAGTCGAATATATGCAGCAATTTCCAAGTCACATTTCTGGTAACTTATGACAGAGGATAAAAATTATTTCTTATGGACACACCAAAAATCCCAGGGTAGGACTGTGGACTGGGCACTGTAGAGATACATGACAATCAGCAATTTTCTGAAGCAGTTTATAACCTCTATAAGCAAAGCAGATTAAAAGCATAAGAGAAACCACACAGCATAAGGAGATGAACTTATTAATGGCTGCACAGCATGCAAGGCTCCTGTTTCTTCCTTTATGCTTTACTCTTTTGGCCCATCCTGCCCTTAATTATTATTCACTGCACCAAGTGAAACAAAATACAGATTTTACCTGCAAAACCTACTGGCCTTTGCTAGACTGAGGTGTAAGTTTAAAACAATGTATCTCCATCTTCCCTTAATCTCCCTGACCAATAGGTGTAACATAGTTGATCAGTTAAGCACTCCAGGCAGGTGGTGTCAATGACTTACTCTGTTCAAAATTACGATCTTCACATATGATCTGATCATTCTTGATTTCATGCTGTTCTTTGAGCAAAAGAGATCCCGTGTATCAAACATTGTAGTGTTCTATCCTACTCCATAGATAAGTAATCCACAAAAGTAACTTATAAAAATTGAGGTAGTATTCTCTTCAGCAATCTTTTTATCAAACACATTATAATACAATACAAACACATTGCAATACAATATCGAACACAGTTCAATAATGAAAGCTCACTGACACAGTACAGGTTATTTAAATGTTCATAAAAACACTAGTAAATGTTTTAGAGGGAAAGCAAACACTGAAAAAAAGACCGATTACAGCAATGAAAATACTCAAATTCAGGAGTAAAATAGCAGTACTTCCATGAAAGGCAGACCTAAAAGAACCCTGTGTTGTGTGTATTTAACTCTTATCCTCATTTCCACCCATAATGTTGTTTCCATAAGCAACTTCAAGCAAAGATAACATACACTGTGGATAGCGTGTCACTGTACTTGTTCTCGTCAGCTGGTTATCACACAGACACAAATGTTTGAACACCATGTTCTGCCCACCATTTCCCCATGGGCACTAGTTTGGGTTTCTCCAGCCAATTACCAGTTCTTATGAAGCCACACAGAATTTTAGTATCTTTGAGACACACACTGCTCCTTTCAAACAGGATTTATAGTTGTCAGGGATACACAGAAGGTCAAGTAAACAGTACACTTGAATAAGTTTTATTTCTGCAGCAGAGTAAGTTAAAAATAACATAGGGTGCTGCATTAGGTGTGTCATTTCCTGATACAACTTCTCAGCTGCTAAATTTTCAGCATGGGAATTCTAATAGCTATTTTTCACAGGTTTGTTTAGTTTTGTTTTAAACGGAATATTACTAGTCTAATGTTTAAATACTTAACAGGTACTTAACACTGGAAAACAAACCAGGTATTTTTTTGTTTGGTTGGTCTTTTAGATCTTTCCTTTCCTTGATGTCAGCAACTATCCTACCTTCAGTGTCCACTTTTTCAAGCTTTGTTTCAACCAGATGCTGCCCTGTGCCTGTGATTAAATTTAGGTAACATTTTTTCCTTATATATGATCATCATGAAAAATAATCTTCAGCGATTACCATCAGTTCAAGTTCTGATACTGCAGCATTTTTAGTCTTCATATTTCTTAGCATATCCTGCATGTCTAATAGCAGATGATAAAAAGTCTTCCTAGAGCAGCTGCTGACTTATGCAGAAATCTGCTCTTGACACAAGCACCAAAACCAGAAAAATAAAATCAGGTACTTTTCCTGCATTTGGACAAGATCATCTGTTAGTTTGTACAGGCAAACCATAAGCTTCTTCCTTAATGGAAAAGAGATTTACTTTCATATATGAAAAGATTAACAGCTGGTTATACAGACAAGTAGTAAAGGATACATCTAGTGTGCCACATAATTATGAACTTGAGGATATTCTCCAGCAGTGTCTTCTAATTTACCTGTTTACCAAACAGCACTTTGTCAGCTGAAAAGAGAGGTACTAAGAAGAAACTTTTAGGACAAAAGACCATTCCCTTATCTGCAGAGATTCTTGAAGGAAAATCCTTTATGTGAAAATCTCTCAGAATCAGGCTCAAGCATACACAGTGCAATTAGTTCATAAATTGCCACAGGCCATATGGATTTAGCTCACCTATTGCACAGGTAGTACACACCCCAGTGATGTTTTCTTTTAAAGATTTCATGATTGTTCACTTCTTAAATTGAAGTAAAATACCAACACTTCAAAAATTATAATGAGCATCCAGCAGTTACACATTTCGTTCTCCTTCCAGGAAATGGATATGATGCACTTACACAGGACAGCAGCATGCATGAACCAATTGCCTCAGAAATAAGTTCTTTAGAAGATCTTTAAGCTTTTCGAAATACTGCCATTTTATTCAGTCCAGCACTTGTTCTAAGAAATTATCAAGTGACCCTTTAGCAAAGTTCTTATAATCTACAGTTTTCTCAGATGCTCTCACAGCTTTAGCTTCTCCTCTACAAAAAAGTTCAGAGGCCAAAATTAAACTCAGATTCTTGCAAACCAACAAGGTCAGTGAATCAACTATATGTGGGAAAATTCTTCACTAAGTGTAGCCTATATTGATGGATATTACAGTCAAAGTAATGAGCCACCTGGTAAGTTACCTCCATCAGCTTGGGGACACAGAGGACAAGTTCAGCTATTAAGGTCCAAAAAATTCATACCACAATCAATACCTTAAACTACACCTAAGAGGTATAGAACTTTCTCACACAAGGATAGGTAGTTTTAAAATAGTGTAATATAACAAAACAAAGCTCTCTTACTTCTGCCAGCTGTTTTACAGGATAGAGTGCCTGGCTAAGCAAAAGATGTCAAGACACTCTTCGTCAGGATTCCTGTTGTCCTTTAGTCTTTTCACCCATTTCCTCCGTCAGTTACCACTCCTACATTACTGCTGTTCTTTCTCTTCAAGGTTTATAAAGTGTTGATTCGCTGAATAGAAGGAACTAAAGTATTTCATATTCTAAAACACTAAGATGAGCTTATTACTTACTCAAAATCTGTGGCATAATATTTGAGGAAGCCAATCAGCAAATCTCCAAGGCTTGATTCATTTTTTGAGAAGTAAGGAGGAATGGCACATGGAACTTGATGAACAAAACGCAACTGTATAGCAGGATCAAAATATTCCTGTCAAAATAAAATCAGAGAGTGTATATATACACACACACACACACACACACACACACACACACACACACACACAGAGTCTTAATCTACTTGCATATATTTTGCACAACAAAAAAGCTTCCTATCATTTGCTTATTAGAAGTTCAAAAACAACTTCAAAGGATTCTGTTTCTGTTTTGCTCCTCTGCTGGATACCAGTTACTGCCCCTGAAGTCAGTTAGAATCATCTTGCACAAGAGCATCAGAGACCAGCCCTTGCCTTCTGTTTACTGAAGAATTTTAACATGGGAGAATCTTTGAACTGGACTTGTGTTTACGTGGTAGTTAAACCACATGAGCAGGAGCTGAGTAAGGTAGCCTGCACTGAGCTGGCTGTAGATGAACTGAGGTGAAGCTAATGCACTTACCACTAAGTTCCTATAATTGTAGTACAGAATCTAAAAGTAAGACTTGACTTATTTTTCCCACAGTATAGAGTTAAAATTGCACATGAAACCCACTGGCTCTAATATGAACCTACATCCTCCCACATAATGAGTTCAAAGACTGCAGCAGCACCTCCTGCTGCAGAAAGAAAGAAAAAAAAATAAAGAAAACCTGAATACACAGAAAGCAGTATTTAAGCTGTAGTATGCTTTTCTTTGGATGGGTGGGACAGGAGGGGGTTGGGGGCATGGAAGAAAAGGTCAGGTTTATAGTAAACAAAAGTCACTTTTGCCAGCTTAAAAAGGGATCTACACAAGATTAAATTAGCATGGTTTTAGATCTGCTATACTGTTTGGGTGCCCATTGCATCTTTTAGGTTCTTCTGAGAGACTAGGGTACATGGAGAAGAACGCACTTCTCTTGCTAGAGAAACTGCTTTTAAAACCTGGTAATACTAGGATACTACATTTTACAGCAATGTTGTGTATTTTAAAGAAAATGAACCCAAGATATACAAGAACAAATTTTACATTCACATAAAGAAATACATCTGTGTAAATTTATAGCCTATTCAGTCATTACTGTATCTCCACTCCCAATCCTTTTCTATTTCAAAGAGCAGCATCAGGCATGACTCAAACTTGATAGTACTAGACTATCACTGGAAGCACTACATACTGTAATACTATTTCTATGTTCCCAGCTGGCAATGCTTCCTCTGAGAAAAGCATGGTTAGTGATCAAACCAGTAGGACTGGAAAGTCTGGGACTCTCATTCTCTTGCCAATTCTAGCAAAACTTCCTGGAACCTCACATATCACCTTCTGGGAAAAAAAGGCCTTCTTCCAGCTATGCAAAATTTCAAGCCTTGTTCTTGATTATATGACTTTGCATATAAAATATTACAATAGTTAGCAGAGGTCAGAATTTAACAACTTACAATCCGACAGAACACACCGAAAACATGGAGAGACAGACATAAAAAGCAGATATGCAGCATATATAGATCTAAAAGGGGAACAGCTGTTCCTATGTTATAGAGTATATACAATTTTTACTTGATCAGGCAGGTACCAGAGTGAAAGTCACTCCTTCCCCATTTCCACAGAAAGTCATAGAAGAGTCACAACAAATGAATTCAGTGTTAGCAGTAAAACAACTTATGAGAAAATGGACACAAGGTAGAAAATGGAACAAAAAAAAGGACTGTTAACCTCCAAACAATACAAAAGACAAATGCATTGAAATTACAACAACAGATGGCTACTAAGACTAATAAGTAAATATTTGAAGTCAGCAGACATTTTTGAAAAGCAACACAATATTTTTTTTTTATGATTTGAACGTCCAGATGCCTGCGAAATTCTAAACTGCAAGAAAAATTTGCTACCTCAGTGAGGTTTGCACCCTCAGTGGCTAAAAAGGTAGACTTTGGGATATTATTTTTCAGAAGAAGAAAGTTATTGTCTCTAGCACTATTAGAAGCTTAGAGAAGATGTTGCTTTTTCTTATCAATCTTGACCTTGAGCACATTTTATGTTTCACAACATTTTTTCCAATAATATTCGTTAGCAGTTAATGAAATAGGAAGTTAGAAAACCTTGCAAAGGTTTACAATCACAAATCTGTATTTTGAAAAGGGTGATTATGATAGAAGCATAGTCCAGATGAAGGCCTTTTGCAGGATATTTCATTTGTTTTTTGACTGAGTTTGCATTGATCAAAAGTCATGTAAGCAGCAGTAATAAAACTGAAGTACTCCTCATGTGAGGAGCAAGAAACGTACCACATTCCAAACTTTCTCACTCATGGCAGAAGAGATGAAGTTCCTAACCTGCATTAGAAGGCAACTTTTCAAATCTTCACCTAGTAATTAGAATTAAAACTCTTGAACTCTGCAATCTAAAATTATGATTTTTTTTTCAAAAGCAAGTTCAATTTCATGAAACCTGTGGGGCCAAGTTTTACAATGCACATTAAAGTACACTTGCCCCACAAAGGTCAGGCAAGCCAAAGTTTTCCTTGACTTTCTTAGTCTGAAAGGCATCTGCCTTCAAAAAATAAATGCATATTATTCTATACAAGTGCTCTAGTAAAAATGCAAGTTACAGTCTACTGCAACTAATCATTAAAAAAACCAACCACCTAGTTTAAGAGACACATAAGCAATTCCTATCTCCACTTGCTTTAGTGGTTCTACCACTAAAGACTCTTTAAAAGACAATTAAGTATTACAAAATAGAAAGCATAACTAAAACTGCTTTTCTGGAAGAGGATTTTTTTGTTGTTGTTTTTTTTACACTAAAGCAATATCAGAAACATGTGATGAACAGTTTGTTTGTCAACTTATTTTTTTAAGCACTGAGTTGCCGATTACCACATGTAGAAGGAAATAAAAGTGTTTAATCTTTCTGAAATACAAGAAAATTTATAATGGAAGAAATTGCTATTACCAGATTAGAAAGTTTTACATGCAAAACCAAATTAATTATAAGTAATAATTGGATATGGGAAAGATTTAATGAAAACTTCTGTTAAGGTAAACCAATATTCAACATATTAATAACCAATGTCATTTATTTAAGGTCATTTCTTAACAAAGCAATCACTCAGTGTCCAGTGAACAAGAAGTCAGACCTGCTACAGGATACCTAGGCTCATTTCTCTGCTTTGTCACAGGCAACCCATGACAAACCATTACACTCAACTTGCCTCCATTCACCTATTGAGAATACAGGGATATCAGTATTTTTTTTCCTGCCAGAAGGATTCGGGGAATAACTAGACAAACAGAACAAGTTCCATAAGGGAGTTTGGTAATGGAACAAAATGGCTGATACCATAGCATTTTCTCCCTGTTATAATCAAATATTCCCATTTCAGCATTATAGGAAATATTTGCTAAAGAACAGCTTTCTGACGCTACCTCAGCGCAACAGTAAAAAAAACCCAACATCATACATAAGGACACCAAACTATGGGAACTATGAATAAAGGAAAAATTAAAAAGTGACATGAGAAGAAATGTAAGGAGGAAGGAATTGAGGAATTTCTGTAAATAAGTTGTAGAACTATTCAGCAATAGTTCTTTTGTCCCCTGACAAATATTTAGGGGGGTAGCTCTTGCTTCTAGTTAATCTTCATTAGATTAAGTCTCACTTATTACAGTCTTTAATCTTCACAGGATCAAAGCATACCAATTCACAGAGTTTTCTGGAAATCAGAGTATCTGGACATAACAGCAAAGTCCCAGAAATGTGTTTTATTGTTGGACCAATTTTATGAGATCTCAAAAGCCTCCTAGTAAACATATATCATTCACTTTCTGCACCCAGAGATACCAGGCAACACAACAGCTGTGGGAAGGTATGGAATTCTGAAACACCACAGTTGGATGGAAAAAACACTACTTAACATATTAGGAAATAAGAACCAGAAAGTTACAGATGACATAGGGATATTTTTCAGGCCAGCATAAAAAGAATTAGGTCAGCAGCTCTCAATAGCACTCATTTCCAACTGTGTGCAAAATCCCATATATAACAGGCTGTTTTCACTAAAGCAGCAAATAACCTTTTTCACACTTATGTTTAGTGTATCAATGACCATGCTTACACATTGTGTTTAACTTAATCCACTAAGAGATATTTAAGCATTAATATATTTTAGATAAGCAGCTTCATATACATATATGATGTAATAAATTCATAAGAAACACTTACTGAGTAGTTCTTTTGGAGGGATGGAATGATGGGTTCTGGTAGGGCTATAAAAGAAGAGAGTTTAAAGTTGCTGTGGTTCATGTAATTCACAGGAAACAGTATAGTATGAACTACATCAAATGGTTGGACTGAAATCCCATTTTAAAAACATTTGTCAAAACTTCACTTTCATGCATTTTATAAAATTTAAGTTATTCAGCAAATCTGTTACTATATTTTGTATGTAGTAGTACAAGGAGTTAATTCAGCTAGAGGAAGCTGTTACTAAGATACTATTTGAAGTATATGAAAAGAAGATATGAAAAATTTTACAGCAGCTTCAATTTAAAAAAAATCGTGTTAATTCAAGGTGATAAGAAACTCACCTAGATTCTCTAAAGGAAAAATCAGAGCTTCATTCATTTTTTTTCCTACATCTAATATAATATGAGTCTATCACAGCATAGGAAGTCTCCAGATACTGCAAAAGTACATATTCTTCAGCTGCAAGGTATTACATACTGAGTCTCCAAAAATAACCTAAAGATAAAATGCCCAACACACTTCGTAGGCATTGCTGGCAAAATCCCCATAAAATACATAAATACACTCTAATGCTGTTGGCTGGTCTACTAAACAGCAAATATGCTATAAGGATTATGCAGACATTAATGATATTAAAGCACAGAATGAACTAAATTTTAACTTTTATGAAAGTCATTGATGCAGAGAGCATCCATTGCACAATACAAATAATAAGGAAAAAAAACTTCTCCTAGGTTAAGTGGTCCTACAAATAGACAGGGAAAAAAACCCAAAGCATTCACATCCCACTCAAGCCTTAGAGCAGCTACAGAACTGTTAGAGTACTCCTCATACTAAACCTTTAACGTATGCCTTCCAGCATGTTACCTTTAAACAATTGGTCTACATCATTCACTGGGGAAAATTATAATTAAGTTCAGCACATAGGACTTTAACTTGGGACTTAATTCACTCTTCAGACAAGGTTTCACAGGGGAAGAGATGTTACAGGATCCTTTTTTCATAAGAACTAAGAATAAGAACAGCTGAATTCTCAGAACATGCTTGGGATATCTTCAAAGATTATACTATATTAACTTGCAGGACTGCTAAGAATATGATCACAGGTGCATTAATATTTTTGGTTTTATGTGTTTAGAAATACGCAAGAGCATCTTATTTCAGCAACATTTTGGATAATTTCCAGTTCTCTGTCACACTAAAATAAGAGGCAACAAAAGCTGAGCAATACAAACAACCAATATATTTTATCTGGGTTTGTATACTATACTAAAAGGATGGAGTTAAGGTGAAAAGTCACCACTTACCACTAGGATTTGCCACATGAGTATTCCTTTTCTCACTGTACAGATAGTTGGACCTGTTACCTCGAGTTCCGTGTGCAAGACACTGACTTAGCTACAAAATAAACTCAAGCCACACTAACCTTCAGTCCAAAGATATTTATACAAGTTTAAAAATATGAAAATGGATTAAGTAGTGAAGGAAAGAATTTTGCTTAGTGAAGACAGAGACACTATTTATTGCAAAAGAAAGCTTTTATTTTTTTTCCCTCCCCAGTAACATCAACAAAAGCTCTATTACAAATTCTCTAACTAGGACACATACTTTCAGTATCACCACATGCATGTAGCAGAAATGGAAAAAAAAACCAGTTAAAAGCTACATGTATAAAACATCAGAATGTAAACAGATGGTGCTAGATACATGTCCAGAGCCACATTTTGGCCTTTTTTTAGCAGAAAAGGCTGATGGAGCACAGGTAAAAGACTCCTCTTTGGTTTACAGACTGCTG